ATTGTGTAATATGTATACAGTGGACTACTAGTTGACCAAAAAAACGAAAACTACTGATACATGTAACAATGAAGATGTATCTCAGAAATGTTATGCTACGTGAAAGAAGCCAGACCATAGGAGCATATACTGTAGGATTCCATTTATTCTAGAGCAAGCAAAACTATAGGGATGGAAAGCAGATCCAAAGTTACTTAATACATGGGATGGTGAGGGAGGGTAGGGGAGATTGTCTACAAAGGTACCTGAAGAACTATCTGCAGTGATGGATTGGCTGTCACCATAGCCACTCGTGTGAGTATATACAGTTGCGAAAACTCATCGAACTGTACACTTAAAATGGGTGCATTGTATTATATGTGAAGTTGATATAAAAATAAAAATTTCTGAAGATGAGGGATCTTATCTGAACTGTACCACCAACTAGCTCTATGCGTTATTGCGAAAGGAACTTAATCTTTCTGCATGTCTTCCCTGTTGGGAAAATGAGTATGATAGGTTGCTCGCCTACCTCATTCAGTCGTTGTGTGAATACAGATGAAATAATTTATTTTGAAATGCCTTTAAAATAAGTCGTATACACGTGCTGGGTGGGAGGAGTATTCCATAAACTCATCTTGAGGGAAGAAAGACAAGAACTGTGGTAATGAATGTCTGAGCTAATATTTATATATATGTTGGAATTCATTTGCAAATCATCTTTTTACTTTGTGGAACATGAGCTGTGTCACTTCCCCTCCTTGGTCTTGAGTAAAATGAAGGGGTTAGACTAGATCAGACGTAGAAAACTGGAGGCTCGGAGATTATCTAAAGCTTTTCAGATGTGTTTTCTTTAGCCCCTACACTATGGTGACCTGAACAGCATTAATTTAAAAGGTGACTTGTTGCCAGTCTTTAAATATGGAGATTTCACATACAATTTTGGGTTTCTAGCTCATTTTTAGAAATTAGCAGATCTGACAAAACCAGGTCCACATTCCCACATGGCAACAATGATCTGGAGTTGCATGGTGGCCATCCTGTTACATGAGCCATCACATTAGTTTCCCATATTCTTTACCACTATCTGTGAGTAGCCTTCTCTGTCCTCTGTAGAAACCTTAAGTGGAGAGTTAGTTCATTATTGAATGCTCACTGTGTGTTAAACACTATTTTATGGCATGACAATCCAGAGGCAAACCAAACAGACAAAACCTCTAAACTCATGGTGAGCTATAAATAGCCATCCACATCTCCATCAACAATTAGGGGGAGAAAGTTAGACCAACAATGCTGTATATTTTAGGGAAAACGGGAGAAAACATGTTTTCTTGTGGACATAAAAAAAAAAAATCCTACGTATTTAATAGGCAAAGCATGTCTATGTCAAAATTACGCTGCCTACTTCACTTGCTTGCTTCACATAATAGATCATATCCTTTTTATCTTTTTGAATCAGTAGATTCATGGATGAGATTATCTGAGTGTTTCAAAAAATGTCAGTAGGCAGAGAGACTGACACAGGCTACTGAATGTTAAGATTTTCTTACCTCTGTCCAAACCATTAGGTTTTCCCGTTTAATCAGGATCTTGGGATGCAAATCAGACTGAAATAAACACCTCTATTGACAGTCTTCTCTGTTGACAGCCTCCTTCCATAATAGCCTGAACCCTCTTAAGCTCTGGCTGAGAATCTCATCACCCTGATCCGTGTGGCAGATGGGGCTGTGCACGAGAAGTGTCTTGAATGGCACTCTCTCCCTCTTCTAACCTCGTAGTTTACATCTCCATTTGGCCAACCACAGTGATAGTGACCAACATCTTTAGACTGACAAATCCTGTTAGGCGTGGATTTTGATCTCATGATTTAAATGCTTCTCATCTGCAGATAAGCCCCTTTATAGGCATAGATGCTTGACAGTGTGGCTTCATCTGTGTTAAGTAAAGTGATTCACTAATTTGCTTTTAGATTTATCATGGTCATAGGCTTTGAGAATCTGGGCTGGCTCTCGTCAGCCATTGTGCTTACTGGATTGTGTGGTAGGCGACTGACCCATTTCTTCAGTCTTGGCTGAGAAGGTCATCTTGCTACCTACAAAGAAAACTGCACTGCTCCCATCTGGTGGTAGTTATCTCGAACTGCAGCATCTGAAGGAATTGCCCTGTCCTTCAGCAGTGCCGGGCAGCACTGAAGTGTAGGAAATACCTATTCCCACCTTTTGTTTCACAACATTGTCAGCTGTTTCCATTTTACCTAAAGGGTATCACATGGTTTTTCTAGGAGAGTGAACCACTCCAGCTTCTGCCCATAACTAGCCATGGGACTTCTAAGCCTCACTTGTTTTGTCCATGCATAAAGCAAAACACTTGGACTTAATGCTCTCTAGGAGTGCTACTCTTGCAAAGTCTGTAGTTCTGTGATTTTGAAAAAATTTGAAATATCAATGAAATGAATCCTACTTATACTATTTACAAAACAATTATGAACATACATAGAAATTTTGCAATTTATGCTACTACTTTCCTCAGTTCTAATTAATTATAAGATAACATCATGGATTTAATAACTTTGGCAGGGAGTGGGGGGAAGAAAAGATAAATACCACTGCTTTAAATGCACATGTTTATTACAAGACATTCTGATACCCTTGAAAGCAAAATGTAAAAACCATGCATTTTAGAATTAAGAAATGTGTGTGTGAGAGAGAGAGAGAGAGAGAGGGAGAGAGAGAGAGATAAGACCTCTAAGTGTCAATGCTACTTTTGAAAATGGAAAATGTTATTGAGGTACAAAGATTAGAGAGATGACAGTTAAAATTAAAGATTGTATAGTAAATTTTAGTGTTTATTTGAATACTGAGGAATATTATAACAGGAAATGCACAAACATGCAGTCTCTGGTAAATCATTATCATAGTCCACATTTGGAACCGAAGCCCATTACATTATCTTTTTACAAAATTAGGTGTGTATTTTATGAAAACATTCAACAGTGCTTTATGATAAAGGCTCTTTATGGTTGCAAGTAACGAAAACCAACTCAAGCTAACTTGAAAAGAATAACTGTGTAAAGATGCAGCAGGAAATGCCATGGGCATCAACAGACAGGTACTAAAGTGCCGCTGAGCCTTGAGGGAATTCAAAGGGCATAATCAGGACCCAAGTCTTTATTTCTCAGAGGCCGAAGATCTCTATAATGGTTGTTTATTGATCTGTATCAATTTTGCATGTGGCTCCTAGCCCAGTACTACATCATAACCTCTATACAAATTCCCACACTGAAGACTTCCCTCTGTGTTCACCTCTATACAATTAGTGACCACCTCTGAGCAAGAATAGCATACTGATTTTTTTGCTGAACAGAGTCAATGGACAGGATATTCAAGCTAAATGATGACAACGTACAAGGCAGGCAGATGGACTGAGTGTCCAGTGTAACTGCTACTTATTCCAAAGTCTTCAACTTTGACAGTTTTGCCTCACTTTATCTAACTCCTCTCACCAATGGCATTGAACACCTCATATAGTGCTTTAGGAGTGAAGTTGAGGTTAGGGTTCTAAGAATTTGGGGATGCTGTGATGTGGTGTAACAAATTTAGAGCATTTGAGAATTTCTGTAGAGTTATATGCATTTCTTTTTTTTTTTTTTTTTTTTTGAGATAGGGTCTCTTACCCAGCCTGGAGTTCAGTGGCGCAGTCACGGCTCACTGCAGCCTCCGCTTCCCAGGCTCAAGCCATCCTTCCCCGCTCAGCCTCCCAAGTAGCTGGGACCACAGGTGCATGCCCACCATGCCTGGCTAATTTTTGTATTTTTTGTAAAGACAGGGTTTCGCCATGTTGCCAAGGGTGGTCTTGAACTCCTGAGCTCAAGCGATCTGCCTGCTTCAGCCTCCCAAAGTTCTGGGATTACAGGCGTGAGCCACCACACCTGGCTTATATATTTCTATTAATGAATTGTGAACTGTCTTTTAGAGAAAGGTCAGTGTGGACATTAAAAAGTCTCCCCACTAATTGTGTCATACTTGCCTTGTGTATGCTATGTGGAATAGCACTTTCTTACCCATATCATGTATCTTCTCAATAGCCCAGGAGGCAGGGAGGGCAGAAGGAATCTTTAGGTCTGTTTTTAGGTTCAAATTGAGTGATAGGATGAGAAGAAAAAAAGAGGAGATTCTTGAAATTAATTGACAACTATTTAGCAATTAGTGAAATAATTTCCTAGCCTCTCTGGTATGAGGGAAAGTGTGCTCCACTTACGTCTTTAAAAATGTTTTTGGTTTGAATCACATCTCTTTGAGCCTCTGTATTCTTCAGCTGGTAATTGTGTAAAGGGGAAAATAACACAACTCACAGAATTGTGTTAAGAATTAAACAAAAGCATCAAAATACCCAAGACAAGGCTGGTGCAGTGGCTCCTGCTTGTAATCCCAGCACTGTGGAAGGCCATGGTGGGAGTCCAGGAGTTTGAGACCAGCCTGGGCAATATAGCAAAAGCACTTCTCTACAAGAAAGTACAAAAATTAGCCAGGAGTGGTGGTGTACACCTGTAATCCCAGCTACTCAGGAGGCTGAGGTGGGAGGATCGATTGAACCCAGGAGGTCAAGGCTGCAGTGAGCAGTGATCGTGCCACTTCATGCCAGGTTGGGCCACAGAGGGAAACTCTGTCTCAAAAAAAAAAAAAAAAAGTGTACATAGGATAGTAGTTGTAATGTAGTTGGGTTTTTTTTCGCCCATTTATCTGTTTGTTTGTAGGTTATTTGGAAAATAATTACTATTCTTTTGTTATGCTGAGATAGGTGTTTGGAAACAATTTCTCTGACTCTTGCCATCCCCTCCCACAAGTAATATCTCCGAGTTCTGAGAATCTAAGAATGTGTTCTACAACAGGCTAGCCCTAAAGGCTGGCTGGCAGTGGCATCAGTACCATTAGCAGTGACAGCGGCAACCTCCAGCCACCACAGTCATCTGACTGACTTTTTGAACATTGACTCAAAAGAGCTTGTGTGTGTTTCTCTCACAGGTGGATTTGCTATTGTATTTCTGGTGAGGACAAGCAATGGGATGAAATGTGCCTTGAAACGCATGTTTGTCAACAATGAGCATGATCTCCAGGTGTGCAAGAGAGAAATCCAGATAATGGTAAGGCTGCCCCTTGGACTTGGGACTGTTTAAAATGGAGGCAGAGGTTGTACTCTCTCATAAGAAAGTCAAACGGGGTTTGTTCCCTTCCCTGAGGTGGTACAGAAGCCTCTGGACAAAATGGGACTGAACAGCCATGTGATATAGGACACCACCCTTGCCTTGGTCACTCTCAGCTGGAGGGTGGAGGAGAAAGGAGCATATTGAGAGAACTGACCAGTTTTAGGTCAGAAAAATCATTTTGGGCATTGGGAAAATCTTACTTAACAACATGGTTCCCACAAATTAACTGTGATATTTAATCCAGAAAGCCTAACTTTCCAATGAGCCTCTTCTTCTGGTCTTGTCTCTCTCTCTCTCTGCTACCAGTCCCCAGTCTCAGTTCAACCATCCTGAGCTCTTCAAAATCCTGTGAACATATCCTTATACAACTTAATATTTTTACATGTAGTTCTTTTTACCTGGAATGCTTTCCCCCTTTTCTGGCCTGGAAACCTAGACCAAAACCTAGAAACCTCATATATACTCTATGAATCTATTTATAGAAGTCCAAGAACAGGCAACATCATCTATGGAGATAGAAATCAGAACATGGTTATTCAGGGGCGGGAAGTTGACTAGAAAGGGGTATACGGGGACTTTCTAGGCCATGGAAATGTTCTGTGTGTTGTTTTAGATAGTGGTTACACATATGTGTCAAAACTCAATTGAACACCTTAAAATCTGCACATTTTATTACGTTAATTAGACTTCAATTCTTAAAACTTACTCATTTTTCAAGATGCAGATTTATATGTTTAAAGAAAGAGTCCCTATGTGTTAGATATACATGCTGAAATATATATGGAGGAAATAATATAAAGTCCTTAGAACAATGAGTGGGTTTAGAAGATAAATAAGATTGGTCAAGAGTTGATGGTGATCGAAGCAGAATTATTTTATGGGAATTTGTTAGAGTAGCATCTTTCTTTTACCTCTGTTTGACATTATACATAATATTATACCTGATAAGTAATATAATAATAATATGTAATAGTATACGCACATTATACATAAGAAACTTTGAATATATAGTCTTTTATTCCTTTGTGCTTCCACAGTGCTTTTGTTTTATACCAATTATTTGCTTAACATGTTATGTTGTAAGCAGTTCTGCTATCAGGGAGTAAGTTATTTAAAATCAGAAATTGTATGCTCCAACACACTGCTTGACATGAAGTAAATGCTTAATAAACTTTGGAAGAAATTCATATTAGAATGATGATAGTAGCAGATACATATGTTCACCTAGAGATGATGATTCCTTTTATGCCCTGGATTTTAATGCTTTTTAAATAGCAAAAAGGGATCCAAAAATGGAGAGCGTGGCATTGTAGGTATCCCACCAGGCTCCGCTTGCCCCTGTTCACCGTAAGTGGCCTTTTCAGTGGCTGCTTAGAATAACTAGTTAGGCTGTAGTTGGACTACTGAAAGTACTCAGAATGTTAGACAGCCTGGCACTACTTTAGATTTTAGAAAGCCAAAACTATGTGGGAAGGAACTGTCAGCACTGCACGACACACCAGCCAACTCCCAAGGGCCATATACATACAGTCAAGACCACGTGGGCCTGTCTGTAAGGCACCAATGCCTTCCACTCCACTGCACATAGCTCCGGATTCCTGTTCTTGCTGTATCTTCCGTCACACACGCAGTGGGTTTTCTGGGTGCTTCTCATTACTTGTCTTCCTCCCTCCTTGCCCGCGCTTGTTCAGCTCTCACACACTTTGTTTCCTGTCTTTGCTTCTGCTGTTTCCTCTATCTAGAATGCCCTTCTTGCTCATTGACTTGTGTTACAAAAGCAATCCCATGATTTCACTTTCTCCTCCTTATTTAAAAACACACTGAGCGCTTACTTGTGCTAGGCAGGCATTGTAGTGGAGGAACGAAGAAGCACAGGCCCATGAGGAGCTCACAAATTAATGGGCTTGATTAAGAGTTAAATCACACAGGTTCAAGTTTTGGCCCAGACGCATATTAGCTGTGAGAGTTTTGTTTTTAGTTTATATTCTTTCAAAGCTTTAATATTCAAATAGGTGAGCTAAGCTTGTTACAAAAAACATCAAGCACTTCCCCAAGGGGAGCTCCTATGCCATTACAGGGTCCCAGAGGCAACCACTTTAGGTGATTCTTTTGATGTCTTTCTAAATAACATGTTAATATTGCTAGTTCTTGATTTTTCTTCCATTTTAGGCATTATCTCCTATGGGAAGTAAAGACATAACTGTCACTTATTCGCTGCTTGCCTCTCTCCCCAAATACTTGCAGTATTCTCATCTTCCATTCTTCCAAAACACCAGTAAACTTCGGCAATATGTTGTTTATATGAATATTAGTTTTTACATTATTAGGTAAGAAAACTATTTCAACTGAATTCCTGGTGGACTATGATTCCTCTGCCTTTCCTATATAACTTTGCTTTCACTAAAATTATTAATTGTCTTGTTTTCCCTCTCTTGGTCTGAGTTTTCTTTGTACTATTTAACAGTTTAATTCCCAATTTTCCATAAATTGTGTAAACCATTTTTTGGATTTTTTAGATGCATTTAATGGTGTCTATTTTATCATCTTCAAGATTTCTCCCTCAGTCTCCTGACTGAGGAACCTGGGCTGGTTGTTCTCTACCTGATTTACAGTCGAATCTTGGAATTTCCTGGACATTTCCTTTGCCTCTCTTTTTAAATTAGAACTGGTAATTCCTCTTTTGGCTAACTTCCTCATTTTGTTGGAGCTGATCCTCCAGTATCTTTTTTTCTCTCTCTCTCTTTTGAGACGGGGTCTCAGTTACCCACACTGGAGCGTAGTGGCACGATCATAGCTCACTGCAGGCACCATCTCCTGGTCTCAAGCAATTCTCCTGCCTCAGCTTCCCAAGTGACTGGGACTATAGGCACATGCCACCAGACCCAGCAAAATTTTTTTTTGCCTTAGAGACAAGGTCTCGCTATGTTGCCCAGGCTGGTCTCACACTGTTGAGCTCAAGTGGTCCTCCCATCTCAGCCTCCCAAAGTGCTGGGATTACAGGCATGAGCCACTATGTCCAGCCTCAGTAGCTTTTTGATGCATGATAGATATATTTTTTTGAAACTTCAGGTCTAGGCTGGGCGCGGTGGCTCACGCCTGTAATCCCAGCACTTTGGGAGGCAAAAGTGGGCAGATCATGAGGTCGGAAGATGGAGACCATCCTGGCCAACAAGGTGGAAACCCGTATCTACTAAAAATACAAAAATTAGCTGGGCGTGGCTGTGTGTGCCTGTAATCCCAGCTACTTGGGGGGCTGAGGCAGGAGAATCGCTTAAACCCAGAAGGTGGAGGTTGCAGTGAGCCAAGATCGTGCCATTGCACTCCAGCCTGGTGACAGAGCTACATTCCGTCTCAAAACAAAAAACAAAAAATGTTCAGGTCTAGAAGTATCTTTATTTTATGTTCGCACATCATAGTTTGAGTACAAAATTCTGAGTTGGAAATAATTTCATTTAAATTTTTTAAAGCACTGTTCTACTATATTTTAGCTTTCAGTGTTGCTCTTGGGAAATCCTAAGTCATTCTAATGTCTAGTCTGTTGGGAGTGACCCATATTTTCTACAAGGAAATTTACAAATTTTCTCTTTGTTTCTAATGTTTTCTTGATACGCCTTTGCGTGTGCATTTATTTATTACGTTAGGTGTTTGGTGGTCCGTTTCAATCTAGAAACTCATATCCTTGCATTCTGGGGGATGTTTTAGTTTCATTTTTTCCCCCTTTTTCTGAAATTTCTATAATTTGCATATTGGTTCTCCTGAATTGATTTTCTAATTTTCTTGTTTTCTCCCTTCTTTTTATATTTCTTTGTCGTTTTGCTTCACGTTCCAGATTTCCTCAGCTCTATATTCCAACCATCCTGTTTAATTTTATTTACCAGACTTTTAGACTCTAAGATCTTTTTTGTTTTTCTTTTATTTTTAATTTAGGTGAAGTCCAGTTTATCAATTGTTCTTTTTATGGATTGTGCTTTTGGTGTCAAACCTAAGAAATCTTTGCCTAGCCCTCAATTCTGAAGATTTTCTTTTAAGTTTTATAGTTTTCCATTTAAACTTATGATCCGTTTTGAGTTTTTTTTTTGGGGGGGGGTGGGGGGACAGAGTCTCCTTGCTCTGTTGCCCAGGCTGAAGTGGTGGCACAATCCCAGCTCACTGCAACCGCTGCCTCCCAGGTTCAAGCGATTCTCCTGCCTCAGCCTCTCGAGTAGCTGGGAGTACAGGCACGCGCCACCATGCCCAGCTAATTTTTGTATTTTTAGTAGAGATGGGGTTTCACCATGTTGGCCAGGCTGGTCCTGAACTCCTGACCTCAAGTGATCTGCCTGCTTTGGCCTCCCAAAGTGCTGGGATTACAGGCTTAAGCTACTGCACCTAGCCATTTTGACTTAAGTTTTGCATAATGAGACTTAGGTTGTGGTTCATTTTTTCCTCATGGATATCTAATTGCTCTTAGTACCATTTATTGAAAAGGCTGTCATTGAATATCTTGGTTAAAAATCAGTTGAACTTAATTGTCAGGGTCCATTTCCAGGCCTTTCTCTATTCTCTATTCCCTTCCATTAATCTATGTACCTATCCTTCTACCAATACCACACAGCCTTGATTACTGTAGCTAAATAAGTTTTAAAATGGACTGAATCTTCCCACTTTTTAAAAATTTCTTACTGTTTTAAATCTGAAGTCCTATGTGACGTTTTTAAGCCCACTAAGTCTCAGACTTCTGTCAGATAGAAGCCGTAACCCCAGCCCTACCTCTCTCAGCGACTGTAGGAATTGTGAAGGGAATCAGATGTAACATGCTGTGTAATATGCTGAAGCTTGGGTGTTAATACTCAAGCAGATTCCTCTCTGTACTTTCAGTGGAGGAATGATGGGCATGTTGTATCCAAATGCGGAGAGAACTGTTAGCGGTTTCACCGAGTGGTTTCACGTTTTATTTT